TATAATACATTTATTATATATTTATAATACATTTATTATATATTTATAATACATTTATTATATATTTATAATACATTTATTATATATTTATAATACATTTATTATACATTTATAATACATTTATTATATATTTATAATACATTTATTATACATTTATAATACATTTATTATATATTTATAATACATTTATTATACATTTATAATACATTTATTATATATTTATAATACATTTATTATACATTTATAATACATTTATTATATATTTATAATACATTTATTATACATTTATAATACATTTATTATATATTTATAATACATTTATTATACATTTATAATACATTTATTATATATTTATAATACATTTATTATACATTTATAATACATTTATTATATATTTATAATACATTTATTATACATTTATAATACATTTATTATATATTTATAATACGTTTATTATACATTATACATTATATATAATATAACAACAGAATCAAATTCCCCGAGTACACAACGTATAAACCGCGATAGAACGGACTGTGCGGGCGGCAGTGTACTAAAGTGTAGTAATAAAATTTTATTCTTCTTCTTCGAGTACGGCGGAATTATAATGAAACAGTACCTGTTACTCTTATAGTCTGTCTATTACGAGCTCGACGAGTTTGACGCGGCCGCGGCGTTGACGCGGTCGCGTCGGCTCGCATACGACGGTCGTTTTATATTTCGAGACTGATGCGCGCAAAAGTGTAAACCGTCGACATTTATCTATCTATTTATTTATCTTTTATTTTCATTTAAACCCGTCCGTCTAAATCTAATGACGCTCGCGAGACTCGATAAGTTATTTATTATTACGACGGGACAGACACGGCTCGGCGGTAGTACACTACGCCGCCGCGTCGTTTTCAATATCTGATATAAATTCTATACGCGTACGCGCGCAAGTCGAAACGGCGGTTAACGCGCATGAAAACCTATAGTCGTTGTTGTATAGTCGTACATATAGTCCTATAGTTTTTATACAGTTTTACATATAGTCCAATAGTTTTTATATAGTCCAATAGTTTTTATATAGTTTTACATATAGTCCAATAGTTTTTATATAGTCCTATAGTTTTTATATAGTTTTACATATAGTCCAATAGTTTTTATATAGTCCTATAGTTTTTATATAGTTTTACATATAGTCCAATAGTTTTTATATAGTCCTATAGTTTTTATATAGTTTTACATATAGTCCAATAGTTTTTATATAGTCCTATAGTTTTTATATAGTTTTACATATAGTCCAATAGTTTTTATATAGTCCTATAGTTTTTATATAGTTTTACATATAGTCCAATAGTTTTTATATAGTCCTATAGTTTTTATATAGTTTTACATATAGTCCAATAGTTTTTATATAGTCCTATAGTTTTTATATAGTTTTACATATAGTCCAATAGTTTTTATATAGTCCTATAGTTTTTATATAGTTTTACATATAGTCGTACATATAGTCCAATAGTTTTTATATAGTTTTACATATAGTCCAATAGTTTTTATATAGTCCTATAGTTTTTATATAGTTTTACATATAGTCCAATAGTTTTTATATAGTCCTATAGTTTTTATATAGTTTTACATATAGTCGAACATATAGTTTTACATATAGTCCTATATATAGTCCTATAGTTTTTATATAGTTTTTATATAGTTCTTATATATAGTTTTACATATAGTCCTATATATAGTCCTATAGTTTTTATATAGTTTTACATATAGTTTTTATATATAGTCCAATAGTTTTTATATAGTTGTATACA